GTAGATCCCCGACTTGTTGGTTGGAAGCTGGAGAGAGTAGCTTGTTTAGGCCAGAAATTGTCCGGGAGACTATACAAAAAATTCAACTCATCCAAGAGAGACTACGCACAGCACAAAGTAGATAGACAAGCTATGCGAATAGAAGACGAAGACCATTGAAATTCCAAGAAGGGGACTATGTGTTCCACAAGGTGTCACCCAAAAAGGGAGTGTTGAGATTTGGCAAGAAGGAAAAATTAGTTCCAAGGTACATCGGACCATTTGAAGTGATCAAAGCGGTGGACAAAGTGGCATACCAACTTCGGTTACCAGCTCAGTTGTCAGGAGTACATGATGTGTTTCATGTGTCAATGTTGAGAAAGTGGCAATCGAATACACCGCATGTCGTGGATTTGGAGGATATAGAAATTCAAGATGGGACAACATATGAAGAACAACCGGTGAAGATTCTCGATACCAAGGAGAAGGTGTTTCACAATAAAGTCATCCAAATGGTGAAAGTCTTGTGGCAACATCATGGAGTGGAGGAAGCTACTTGGAAACCAGAGCTGGAGATGCGAGAGAAGTACCCTCATTTGTTCGCTATTTAAGGTAAGTTTTGAGGACAAAACTTTCTTTAAGGGGGGTGGACTGTAAACCCCCACACTCTTATCTTTATATAGCAAGTAATTATTTTTGAAATGCTAATATAGGTGATGAGGTATGCATGAAACCTATAGATTATAATAGTAGGAATAAATAATGAGACAAATTGATTGTGAAATTTAATTTTTGGAGGTGTTTAAAGTTGATAAGGGTAATTAAGTAAAAATATTAATTTTTTTAGGTCAAAATAATATTAGTATTGAACTTGGGAGATCCGAAAAACTTGAAATAGTCGTTTAACACATATAGCTGTTTAGAGGAAAAAATAGTAATTTTAGTATTTTGAGTGTAAATTTACTTTAGTTTTGAGATAAATCATAAAACTAAATGTTTTTAGGTTAAAATAACATTAAAAATGAATCTAGAACGTCGAAAAACCTTAGGGTAGTCATATGGATTATATTGGAGATTTTTAGTGGTAAAACTGTAATTTTGGAGAAAACCCAAAAATCAGCCTATGAACAGTAACTTTCGGGAGACTGCTATGTTGAAAATACAGGTTTCAGCCCCTTTTCTTCCATTTTTTCTCACATCTCTCACCCCAAACCTCTTAGAGCCCTAGGAGAAGAAAAAGGGAAGAAGAAAGGCTCTAAAGCTTAGGTTTTGCTTGGAATTCTTGATTCTAGGTAGGGTTTCTTCCTATTCTTATCCATTGAGGCTACGATTTATATCTATGTATATTTTTCTTCTAAATCTGAGATGTATGTTATGAAATCATTATTTCTTGATACTTTTGCAAATATTATCATGTTTTGAATGAAGATATGGTTTGATAGCCATGAAATCCTTGTAATCTCAAAACCCTTGTTTCTTTTAAAAGTTAGAGATTTTTCTTCTTGATATTCCTTATTCTTGATTTCAAAACTCTAGTGCTTTGTTTGAATAATAAAAATATATGTTTGATGATATCTTGCATATTTTTTTTCTTGAAATTTCTCCATTAGGAAAATACCTATGGAATTTTGGGGG